CACAGACTGAGAACACTGCTGATTTATGAAGTTCTGCTGATGGAATGGATGCATGGATGAGATTCCTGCATTCTGTTGTGTTTTCTAAGTCTGTCTGTGTGTGTGCGTGCTTGTGACCTGTGTGCCTGTCTGAGTGCTTGTTGGTATGAGTGTGTGTGATCCCCAAGGGTACTTGCTCGTTTGGCAGGCCCGTAGGGCCGGTACTTACTTGTGGCCATGGCATTGAGGGTTGTAGCAAGGGAAAACACTCAAGTGGCGAAGCTAGCGGCCCCGCGGCCCTTGGGGTAGCGGAAAAACACTCAAGTAGGCAGGTAGGCCGAAACTGCACCCCACTGCAGTTGGCGTGAGGGGGTACTGGAGGCCGAGCAGAAAAAGACAAAGTTGGCACTTTTAGAGTCCATTAGCGGTAGGGTAGGTCTAGGTCGGTACCAGTCCAACCAGTCTGAGTCTAGAGCCTGTAAGAACAATATCAGGGTCTGCAATGATATTTCCCTCCGAAGCGGAGTAAGTACCGGTTGCTTGAGGAGGCCGAGCGGCCTGGAAGTCACCGCCCAGGAGGCAAGTAGGCCGCTATATCAAAAGGCCGGGCTGAGAGCCCAGCCTCATTCTTCAGTGTGCAAGTTTGGCGACACGCTGCTGGAGCGCTGGCTGGAGTAGCGCTGGGTACTACAGCGCTGCTGGGAGGAAGAAGCCGGGAGCTTCCACCTTGGCTATTGGAGCTCAACCGGTAGGAGGAGGAGGGAGAAGGGGACCAAGGGGGAGAGTGGCGAGGTACTTACTGGCTATGGAGGACACCATTTTCATCTCCTTGCTAGGCGGTGCATCAGGAAGGCCCCAGTGGGGTAGTGCCGCATCAAGGAAGCTCGGGATAGAGTCAGGCATGGTGGCTGAGTGGGCAGCGACATAGCTGCTTGGTGATGACCTTGAAGTGGGGCAGCAGCATAGCTGCTTTGGGTTGTCCTTTGCACAGGAGGATGAAGCCTAAGTAATCCGCCATAGCCTCGGCCTGTATGTAGAGGAAGAAGAAGGGTTGCCGTGGCTATGGTGGACCTCATCTTGTGCCTGCAGTAGAAGTGGGATTCAGACATGGATTTTGGTTCAGTCATTCAACATTATTATTGTCATTTCTTGTTTGAATAAGAGGGAGGAGATAAGGAGGAAGGGATTGGTTGGCGAAGAAGAAGAGCCTTGACATTGGTCTATGCTGAAGTACATCATCATCTTCTTCTTTCTCACTTCTTCGCTTATTCTTTCCCTCTCTTCCCTCTCAAGTTCATTCATTCCTTTTTGCAATTGGATGGCATTGTACTTTAAGATGAATGTATACTTCGAATTTGGCCAGGATCGTAACAAATCAATCTATCAATCAATCAAAGGCGGGGTGGGGCGACCCCGCCCCCACCAATCAATCAATCAATCAACGAAAAAAAAAAAAATGCGTTGTGTTTTTTTTT